CTAAATGAATATACAAAATTTCCGGGTTTTACGAACTTGATTTACTATTTTGTTTTTTACTGATTAATGAAAAATTTTAAAGATATTATCGATGTTTACGAGCATATTTCTTAGAAAAAAGGATGTAGAATACCCATTTACACTCATTGAAGTCAATTTTATATTTGGACTCGATTGAATATGAAAAGTGCTCACGCTATTTAAACCCTTGGGCTAGAATGATAAAAGCAAATGGTTTGGATAAAGAGTAAAAGAAATTTAATCATCATTTTCAAAAAATTAAGGAAAACTATAATTAAAGTCATTATTAAGATTTATACAGTTTACGTTTTTCTGCCTTCATCACTTATGTAAAGTATTTTTTACACGACTTCTAACAAGGCAATGAATCTGTTGTGCAGAGTGCTAATGGAGGGGTACGATAAAGAACGGGTTGGCTAGAGCATTACTCGTTATAATTCTGATTTTAGACTCGGAATAAATTATTGTTCTCGACAAATAAGAGGACTCAAAACTATTATTAAAAACGAGTTATACTTTTCACTTAAAGGAAAGGATATTCGAAACTGCTAAAGTTTGATACACGAAACTTCCATTCATAAACCATTATTCACTTCATCCTGAAGTGAAAAATGGTTTATGAATAGAATGACTTTATTGTTGACATTTTGAACCTATCCGTCATGTTAAACAAAATAGATAAATAATAAATGACGACAAATTATTTTAATTATTATGAAGGTAAAATTTCATAGTCATGCTCAGTTTTCATTTAGACTAAATTAAACAATTTTCAAAATCTTAATTATTATAAATGACAAACAATTAATATTAATAATACGGTTTGCAGATAATCGTAAACGATATTCGTGTAATTTGAATGTTATGAAGACAAGTTAGTAGAAAATTATTGAATTTTGAGTTATTTGAGAACTTTCTATATAATTTTTAATTACTTTAATGTGTTTCTGGCGGTATTTAGTAAATAATAATACATATTTAACAAAATATAGAATATTTTTAAGTAAAATTTCATGATATAAAAAGAGCGCCTTGCTCATTCAGATTTACATGTTTTCAAGTTTATTAAAACAAAAAGCGAATATTTATATATTCATTTATTGCATTAATATAAATTATTTAATTTTAAAACATGACCGCAGAAAATACAAATTTATTTTTCACTTAAAGCCTATATTGCAATTAATTTCAGTTTTTTTCACGTGAAATATAACAATATATGATATGTGACATATCGTCAATTAAAACAACTTTATTGTAAATGAATTTAAAAAGTTGTGAGTTTATATATAAAAATTTTGACTTGTTATGATTTAAACTAATGTATTAATGAATAAGAGGAAAAGGTTTACGTATCCAATTCATCAGCGAGCGCTGAAGTGAGAAATACTTCACAAAGAAGTGGAGGAAGCAAAGAGCTTGCACGAGTAGCATATCGATGAGTCGCCGCAGGACCAACAGCACGACACCCCATTTATAAAGTTGCATTAACGGAACCTAAATGCTAATTTTAAAAATTCGGTGAGCCTTGATTATAAGTCTCTTGTGTACTGTTTAAAACAAACTCTTCACTTAGTAGTCTGTAGCTATCCCACTGCAATCGTGACACAGTTTGAAAAACTTCTATACATTCTACAAATATTGCTTTTATCTGGCCAAACTATCGATTAATTATGCAATTAAGAAATTTCTTAAAACGTCTATATTAAAAGTTGCTAAGCCCGAGGCATCTTAGACTAGAATTAGATTGATAACTTTGGATATACACTAGTGGATGAGAAATAAAAAAGTTTAAGCGATTAATAATTTCAAAATGTCTATCATTAACGGTGTAAATGAAACGGCCTGATCTGAAATTGTTTTTTTAATTGATTTTTAGATTAACAGAATGACAATTTTGGTCACGAAACCTTCCACAGAATAAAATTAGCGTGAAGTTCGCAGGGTAGCTTCATTATATTGAATTCTATATCATATAGGCCTATTATATATATAGCAATAATTATTCTCGTACAAAGAACAAGAATGAATTTTATTTGCCAAAACTTCGTATCCATTAAGGCATTCTTTATATGTCAAATTCAGTTTTGAAGGTGAACAACCGAATACTATCTCGATTTATGATGCTTCTCTGCAAAAGAAGCGGTGGAAGACGTGACCGGAAAACGAGGATTGTTGAGGAAGTAAAATAAAATAAAAAGAAAACATTTAATGGATCTTACTAAAACGTAAGATAAAAAATTGCACAGCTATCTTTATTTTATTGAATTTTATTTACATTAATGATATAATTCGGAACGATCAGTTTTGCTCTTGCATGGCAATGAAGTTACTCAATATCAAATAAAACATTCTAAGAAGCATCTTTAAGAATAAAAGTAATTAAATTTATTTAATTACTTTTACTCTGTGGTTTTTTTCCTATCGAATTATCAAGAATAACAAACGTAGTTTAATAAAAGTTTGTTATATATATATATCATTAATTAAAAAGTTAACTTAATACAAAGTATTTGCTTTCGATATATAGAAAAGTATATATGTAAAGTAATCATAAATATAAAAAAATTATTTAAATGAATACATTTATATGTGGACTATTAAGAAAAAAAATTAATAGGTTTTGATTTCAAAAGATAACAGTTTTTATTATGAAAATAAAAATACTGATAACTATCATCGTGAATCTTTCATGAATTTTCTAATTGCCTTTTGGTTTTATCGGATAATTTTTTCTTCATTTTATTAGTTAGAATCTTTTCTTGTGACTGCAAACCTATTAAAAATGAATTACTTAAAATAATTTTATCAATTACCTTTTTTCGATAAAAATACAGAGGTACGAAGAAATTCATCTAATTATTTTTCCGCGCATACAATCGCTATTAAAATTTATCAATTTTGTACTCAAAACAAGAATTTTAATTAAACAAAAAACAGTTTAATTTGTGGTAATGTCATGTCACTAACTTGAACTGTAGTTTGTTAACTAAGTTATAATTAAAGAGAAAAAAATGTATAAATTTCCAACCGTCTTTTATGAATTGCCCGAATCGCTGCGGAATTTCTCATTAAATAAACTTTGTATAATTAATATATAAATTATTAGCGGCTTTAATTATTAACTTATCAGCTTATACGCCTATGTATGATGTTACATCTTATATATTGTAGGCCTACGCAAATAAATGACTACCTACGGGGATTAAAGCAGAATCAACAATCAAGACTATATTGCTTAGGGAGACAATTAGGAAATGGATTGTTTCCATTCTTTTTCAATTATATTATTTTACATGCTGCATATTTTTACGATAATTCTATAAAAACTGAAAGAATCGTTTACGAAACTGTTTCCTTTTTAATACAGTACTTTTAAATGAAAATTATTCTTACTTATGAGTTAAATTCGTTGTTTATAGACTAATATGAAGGATTTGAATTTTATTTTCAATTCAATTTTTAAGAAAATTGTTAAGAAAACTATTAACATTTATTTATATATTAAAATATTATTTTTATGTTTAAAAAAATATGTGTAAATATTTATAAATATTATACATTATAGCATGTTTTATTTTTGCTTAATTCTATTGTTTATCTATTGTGTTATTTCTGCAGCTTAATATATACGTTTGCATAATTATCGAATAACTATTTGTTTTTTTGCAAAGCAATGCAATCAATACTGTTCCGGATAAGTCGGATCCCACACCTCATCCTCATTGAGGGCCTGGCCGAACCTACAATGGGTATGGAAAAAAGGCCCTCTTAGTGCCCATACAGTGGGAAGGGCGAAAGAATTTTTTTTTAAATTAAATTAATAAAAGTGTAGTTAGTTAGGAAATAGATTATTTATTAAATAATGAATTTTACTTAATATTATTTTCTCTGTTATAACCATAAGATCTCGAAACTACGAGAAACAAATTAATTAGAACATAATGCAGAAGAAACTTATATTTTTGCCTATTACGCAAGTTTAGAGATTATTGCTTTGTTTACGTATTTAAAAAATAAAAAAATAAAATAAAAATAAATATCATTACGTTGAATAATTAGCAATAATTATAATAACTAAAAAAAAGGATATTTATTTAAATTAAATTCAATTCTAAACTGGATTTCAAACTTAAAAAAGGAATTATTCGAGTAACGATTTCTTCAAATATCTGCTAATTGCTTACAATAATTCAATATAATTTTTATTTAATTACATTTGTTTTTGAACTGGATTTTCCGGTTATACCTAATATAGGTCTATACCTAGATAATTAATTAAATCAAAACAATAAAAATTTCTGAATAATGCATAGCATCAATTTTATTTAATAATTCTGTTTGATGTGAATTAAATTATTTTTATGAAAATTGTTAATTCAATTATTTCGTTAGATTAAAATATTAATTTTTCTTCGTTGCTTTTGTTTAATACATCAACGACTCTTTACTATTTTATTATTATAAACGATTCTAATTAATTATTTGAAGGTTTTCAATGTTTCTTACGATTAATTAAAATTGTTTATATTTCAAATAAAAACTTTTATTCTTTGTTTCCATTTTTCTTGAAGTCTTTCGAATTAGTATTTTTTGATAATTATAAAAGCTTTCATTTACATTTGTTATATTAATAGGTTATTTTCAAATTAAATTAATTTTTATTTAATTTTGAAAAAATTTTAATTGATTTTAAATAACGATTCATAATTATTCATTAGAACTAATCATTGTCCTACGATAAATGAACTAATATTAAAATAAAAATCAATATTTAACTTTGCATTATTATAAATAAAATTGCAAATTTATTACTTGACATAATAGATGAAATTTTCTTTTGTTTTATGTTTATCATTTGCGTTTCTCCGGATTGGAATTTTTGCGCATTTTTTTCTTCATTTCGATTCGAGAAGCATATTTAGATAGAAACGAGTGGGTAGAGCATTAAACATGGAAAAGAATTAGAGAAAATTTACCTGAAATGGGATGACAACGGGAGGAAGCAAAAGCAGAGAACCAGCAGAAAGAAGCGCCGGTGCCGTCTAGGCATGATTTCACTCCGGATACATCCCGGGCATAGACACAACCGGACACAGCGACACACTCGTCTCGCTCCAGGTAGTCACAGCTCAAGCCAGCCGCGTTCTCCCATCTACTCTGACAGAGGCGGGAATGCTTTACCTTTCCGTTCATCTCATTGGATAGATTCGTGCGCGCACACGAACCACAGAAATTTGTGCCGCGACGGAAGAGTATCCGGTAGTCCTCCACCCCTTATCATTAGGCCCCCGGAATGGTACCTTACCACCCACCCCCGTACATTTTCGGGTGCCGCCCTATGCCAACTCGGTGTTGGAAGCGCACCTGATGATTCCGCGAGACGGTATCTGAGTGTTTGTCGCCGCCGCCTTGTGCCCCTGGGCTAGTACAACATTTTCCCGACGACTATGTGTATGTGTGTGACTGCGGTCTCAACTCAGAAAAAAAGAGATAACGCCCACGCTACATGTACACGTGAGCACGTGTCAGGAATTTCGGGAAGTTTGTCACGCCCTGTCCGCTCTCTAATGTATCCCGATGATATTTTTTACTACTCAAATCTTGTCCCATTGTGCAATCGAAATAATAGATAAGAATTTAAATGAAATAAATGACGTTTGAGTCGGATTTGGGCTAGGTGAAATGCTCGAGGAAAGCTAACAATATCCGAAAACAAACAGCATTCATTATTTATGCATATATTAATTATATGCGAACTTAAAATTCGTTAATCTAGCTCTAAATTCTTGTTAAACCATATAATTATATTTAGATTCATAATTAACATTGGAAATTTCCTGTATATGTTTACATAGGATAATTTATGATAAAGTGTGATTTAGAATCAATCTCGTTTTTCGGTTAAGTTGTCACACGGTTGGCTATTATGAAAAATCGAGATTAGAATTAATTAATTAGAATTCGTATGATTAAGGACCTAAAGGATCGAAGCTTGTTTAGATTTTGACATGGTTTACAATAAAGGAAATTTTTGTATGGAAAAATACATACTTTGATATCTTTCTGATAATAATAGACAATTTAATTAGCCTTTTCGGTTTTATTACTTTACCGTGTTTGCAAAATTATAAGTCATAATTATTTAAGGTGTTATTACAGTAATAAATTTATAATAAATGTTCTAATATTATTAATAATAATGAGGTAAACTTATTATTATTATGCTATAATAACAGGTATTTTCAGTGTAATAAATTATGTAAAAGGCCTCACATTTTCTTGATTTATTACTGAATTTACTCGAAATGTGAGGGAAACTGCAGCTTGCTTAACTTTAAATGTTATTTAGTTTTCAATTCACAAAGAGTTATGAATATGTAAGTCAATGTTGAATGCAATTCGTCAGGTTACAAAACTTAGCAACGAATTAATGAATTGTTTTCCTGTCTCCAAGTTTAAATCTTGATAAATGAGTTGCAGAATAAAATGGAGAATCAGACACGCAAACCGGCGATATCTCCATCTAATTCATCAATCAAGACTATTTTTATTTTTATAAGTTTTTCTTTTTATAATATGAGTTCTGCCCTCTCAAATGATGATTATGCTAATGTTCAGTTTAGTAGCATTCAACATCATACGGTCCATCATCATCTTTTTTGAATATTTTTATGTTTAAATAAAGAATAAGATGTGGCATTTAATTAAAGTATTATTTCTAAGCATTAATTTAAATGTTTGAAGAAATCATCGGTGAAACTTTCTCATTAAAATTGTCTTCTAAGTAACATATTGATTATTTTTACTTGAATTACATGGTAATTGGAGTAAAATCATTAAGCTAATCTATGTGTTTTCATCTAGATTAAATGATGATGTAGGCTCACTAATAAATAAAAAACAAAAGTTATTTTTTACTTTTCGGTTTGTTATAGTTTTAATAGTCTATTATTGATGTTAGACTACTGATAAGAAGTCCATATAATGTTGAGATTACTTTAAGTGCATTTTAACTAAGTGTGAATAAGCAGGAATTACTTTGTTGCGTGGGCAATTAAAATGGGAAGGTGTCATTTATGCTGGTAATTTGATTTCAATTATCACTCAAGTAGGATGTGTTCACATTGTAATATATAAATTAATTGAATTTAGATGATGATATCCGAAAATAATTGGTAGTCTGTAGAAAGTATGAAGATACAACTTTAAATTTTTACACTACAAAAGAAATTACATATTTTAATAATTTGGTTCATTAAAAAAAATGCTAAATTTTAGTTTTAAACATATATAATTTCGATATAAAAAGCTTATATTAAAGTTTATTATTTTAAAATAAAATATAACTTATTCGTTTGTTTTTTCGAGTGTGTTTTTAATATAATATGATCATTTTTTAAAATAGAAATAAATATAAAATATAAAGTTATTTAAAACTGAAAAAAAAATTCTGCATTATAATTTATTGCCTTAGTAATATGATTTTTAATTATTTACATTTAAATTTATGATTAAAAAGTTTTAATGAATACTTGTTGGCCGACGAAAACAGTAAAAGAAATATACAGTATATTGCTAGTGGCCATTTCTCCGTCCAACATTTTTCAAGTTCGCCAACCACGTGATTCTATTCAATAAGAAGAAATTTGGCTAACAGCCAGGAGATGGTTCAACCGACCAAACCGCGAACCATGATGTATGTGTTTATTTCGGACGTTTATACCGTCCTTTTTTAAAGGTATATAACGTATAAAGGTATAAAACACATTGTCAATAGAGCTTTTCCTTGGCAAAATTTCTAGAAAACTGCAATAAATTATCAGATAACTTTTATCCATATTTATTATCGTTCACATAATTCTGCTTTCCTTTCATTGCTGACGTGACATTGTATGGTACAGTGTAATAATTATATCGTAACTTTTCGATCGTCAGAAAAGATACGAGTAAGAATACTTCGAAATCAGCTAAAAACCTAATTTAAGTGCAATATCAGAACCCTCTCACCTCTTTATTACGTATCGGAATCATATAGAAACGAAAAGAACGATATCGTTGAACTTTTTCTAGTAAATTATCATTTTTTTTAAAGTCATTTTACATGGCGTCACTTAATTTCTCTAATTCTTGAGTGCAATTAGACGAAATGCTATTAAATTTATCATTTCAAAGGATTAAAAAGGAGGAAGGCGCTTCGAAAGTCATCAAAAGAGATTAACAAAAGCTATTTCTCAGATATTGGACGAATACAGTTGACGATCGGTAATCTTGTAAAATAAGCGAACGACATTTACCATTTTTTCGGTAGAATAAGTGAAGAGTGCGGTCACAGAGAATGATATATAGCTAGACGTAGGCCCGATACTTAGACAGGTGTGTGTGACAAGGTGGGTCCTCGGTAACCTCCATCATCACGTGAGAAGCACGCGGAAACAGTTTTCCTCTTCTCTTTTCTCCTGTTTTATTTCTATTACCTATTAGAAGTGAAAATGTGTAATTTCGTATGTTAACTTCTCCGAATTGAACTGTCTATCATTATATGTTTTTCTTTGTGATTTAACATAACAATAGGTGTGCGATAATCTGAATGGTAAACTTAATAAGCTCCAGGCCAAACATGAAGACGTTCACCTGATCAATTTTAAAGACTTCAATTGGACGTGTCCGTCTTTTGTTATTTAAAGCCTCGGGTCCTGTTTCATCAACCAGTAAGATGTAATTACTCTTTTAAATGGTCTTATATTTAGAAATACACTTTAATAATTCTAATAATTATTGGCATTCATTGTTCCTCTTTCAGTCGAAGCCTTTGGTAGGAATCCTTATCATCATCATTAGTTATTGATGATGAAACTTTAATTTCTTTGACAAATCCTAATTTTTTTGTCGAATAATTTCGCCCTTATTATTATTGTCGAGAGATTTATAATGTTAATTATTATTTATTTAGAAATTTAAGAGTATTTTTTAAACACCTAATTCTTAATAATTGAAGCAATGATTGTCCAATATAAACTTTTAGATTTATTTGAAACTGTGAATCATGATTTATTGTAAACAATTTATAGGGATAAATTATCATTATCAGAATTAGAATCGACAGACTTTTTTGTTTAAGAGTATTGCACTGTCTCGTATGATTTATATGTGTTTTCATATTATTTATGTCAAGAAAAAGTCTACCACGAAGCGACAGAGTTTTTGGCGAGATGCTGTCAAACGAGTCGTTAAAAGAAATTTGTAGAGCGATATTAGATAATATTTATAATGAGACTTATAGAATTTGACAATGATATATAGGCCTACTAGCACCAAAAATGATCGAACATATTTTAAAATAGCTTTAAGCTCTTTTTAGTTATATTATTATTATTTTTTGCTTAAACTAATAGCTAATATGCTGTAATACGTTATTAATTCAATACATAATTAATATTTACTTATCTCGTACAGAAACGATATTTACTAATCAAACTGTACAATAGAAATTAATAAATTTCAAAAGTTTATTAATTTCTATTCTTACTTTAAGAAATCCACGTTGGGAAAAATGTATAATATTAAATTTTAAGTTAAAATTACCAAATATATGAATTGACATAGATATAATACTTAAATTATAATTCAAAAGACTTGTTAATGTATATAAATCAAGTGTATTATACGATGTAGCGCATCAAAGAATATATCCGAAAAATACTTCCTGTATAATCATCACGCATTGTTTAATATATATATTATAAATATAATCTTTATTTAGAGAGACAAATCTGTATCATTTCGAGTTACTCTTTCTTTTATTTGATTTGATAGCAACCGAGATTGCTGTCAAGGTCGCTGATCCTGAGAGGAAGAATGAAGCCGGATTTGGTCTGTTGTTGTGTCTGTCATAATTCAAATATTGTTTATCGTATTTGGAAATAATGCTTAATTTGGTTATAAATGTGTCGTGATGATGTCTTTTCATTTCTTTTCCAAAAAAGTATTCGTCTACGAGTTAATTCTAATCTCGTAAAAACATTTCAATTAATTGGATCATAGTACTGTCAATTAGATTTAGTTGAAAAGTTATTCACTAATTTTTTTTAAATTTAATAAGATAGTTATTTTAATATTNTTTATACAGTTTACGTTTTTCTGCCTTCATCACTTAT